TTTCCCTAGAACGCTAATCTCTTTTATCTTTTCTTGAAATTTAGGTTAGAAAGCTTGTTTTTGTTGGATTGAAGCCGTCGAGTCGACTGCTTGAAGTTTTCTCTTATTCACCCTTTCATGGCTGATTTGGAGCCACTTTCAGGTAAGGGAAGCTAGAATGTAGTTTGTATGATTACATGTGAGTTTAGGAACTCAGAAAATTATGGTTAACAAATCAATCTGCTAAATTGATGGGGTTTTGGTATTTTTGGGGCTTTGGGCTAAAAATGGGATTTTTAGTGATTTTGGTACATCGAGAGGATGTATGTTGGATCTAAGGGTGTCCATGGATTGTAAGAAGTCTATTTATTGTTTGGTGTGGATTGTATATGACTGTTGTTCTAAGATTTTGCAAGTTTTTGGTTGGTTTTTCTGAAATTGGGTGTTACAGGTTGAATCTGCCCCGGACGTGTCTTCATGGCATCAAATGGACCTTCATTAGAGGTATCCATCTTGCAATCACGCCAGACGTGAGGTTAGTCTCATCAGACGTGATTCAAAATGGGAGCCTTTGGATAAATTTCGCCAGATGTGAGGAAGGCCACACCAGACGTAGTATCAGATAGTGGCTCAAGTGGGGATCTTACTATATGATGCCGGGCGCATGTCTAGTTGCGTCGAGCATAGATGCCCAAAGAAGTCTTTGACTTCATGACATCGGGCGCAAAGTGAGTTGCGTCAAACGTCATTTTGTAGGGGAGTCTCTATCAAACTTATGCCAGACTTGGTACCCTGATGCCGGGCATGAGAAAGTCCTGGAGCTCTTGGGTTGAGCTTAGGCTGGGCGCGACAAAGCTGCGCCAGGCGTGAATTTGCATTTGGTTGTTGTGGTTGGGTTGTGATGCTTTTGCATGTTTTAATGTTGAATGTTTGATCATATATGTAGGTGAATTGATGTTTGGTTCATATTTATGCTTAGGAAGATATGTATGAATGTTTAAAGGCGAGTATTATGTATGTATGTTCATATGATAATGAATTTAATCATGATGGTGGATTGACCATGTATGATGTGTAGTCTAGCCTAGAACTTGAGGAGAGGGAAAAATGTTTTTGAACTGGAAAAGTTCACGCAGAGTCTCTTAAGAGTGGTGCTTGAATAGGCCACTGGTATATATGAGAGTGACGCTTGGATAGGCCACTAGTTTTGGGTGAGAGTGGTGCGTGGATAGGTCATTGGTCATGGTAAGCCTGTACCCAGCTGTGATATACCTGACAGTGGAACCGGACTTCCAAGTATATAAGTGACACTATCCGAGTAAACAACTGGGGAGATTTGATATCTCGATTTGCTATTGACCCAGCAGGGCACTTCGAACGTAAAAGCGATCGAGATGATTTCGGTAGGATGAGATGTCACTTATGCTGCTCTGTTGTTGGGGAGATCTCCAAGGTGAATGTGTGACGATGCATTAGATTATTGATATATATGGATATCTGTCATGAGTTGCATTTATTGCATGATTATGGTATGATAGAGCGTATGGCATGACTTTATAAGAATGATTGTTGATGTGATGATTTAGTAGCATAGAAGTTTATTCTTATGCTTGCATGATTGTTTATTGAACTCTAGCTTACCCTTCTATTTTCATGTTGATGGATTGCGATGATCATACTGTGTATGGAAGCAAGTTAAGGTTAGGTTGGAGTTGGACGTGGTGATTGTTGTGAGTTGAGGAGTTCTGTCCTAATGTTAGAGTTACCGCTCGAGATAACTGTTTAGAGGTGCTTGACGAACACTAAGAGAGTATTATTATTTGGATGACTGTATATACATAGTATTCCATTTTGTACATAGTGGTGTGGTTTTACTATTATTTTTTTATATTCATGTTTATATTGTTATCCAGTTTAATAGCTCCTCTTAGTTAACTAGTATAGTTAGTGTTCATTAAGTATAGAAATAATGACGGATCGTTACATTATTAGTGACAACAAAAATAATAGAAAAATTATTGCTCCAACAAACTTTCTATTGAAACTAATAAGACTAAAAATTTGTTATAATTTAATTCTTGAAAAACTAATTAGAATAAATTAGTGCTTATTATTCTTATTAAGAATGTGACAACAATTATTGTGATTTAGTTTTTATTGAACTTTCATTGCGATAATTTTTAAATACTTCTCTTTGAAATAATGAAATTTATAATCTTTTATTGTTTATTTTTTATTTATTTATTTATTATCAATAAGTATTTTTATCGAACACATGACAATTTCTTTTAGATTTGGCAAACACTTCCTCCCAACTTAATTTTCTACATTTCTTGTTTATTCTTTTAATGTTACTTTTGTATCGTTTTAATTTTTGTGTAATATCTTTTTATCGTATTTTTTTTTGTAAAGAAATATTTAAGATGTGTTATAAAAATAATTGAAATAACTGTAATTTAACTATAATACATTTATACACTTACAAAATATAAAAGGATTTGTTAAATAAGTCAAAATTTATATATATATATATATACTAATAATAAAAGGGGTTTTCTTATTTAATATTTAGTTTTATTTTATCTTTAATAACCGTCCAAATTATAAGGATGAATTTATTATTTTTTTCTCTTTCTTTAACAGAGTCACGTAGTGTATTTTTTTTGGCCCACTAGTAGATAATAAAGATTTTTCTTTCTCTAGATAATTTTGCATTTTTTTTCAGTTTTAATTCGAATGCTTACCTCTCCCAAGGTCTAATTAGGTTTGAGGGCTTCAAAAGTGGAAAAGCATATGTAGATCTAGCAAACAGTGACTACTGATATATTTCCTGATCTCAGTGGTTGGAGTGTCAATAGGATGGCTCACCCTATTCAACCTTAACCCATGTGTAAAATAATAATATTCGTATCATCTAAATTGTAATTAGCCAACTATTCAATATAATACCGACCACATTTATCCAAAATAAATAACTAAATAAATAATGCGCTAAAGAGTCAAGTTCAGAATGAGTTGACGTACAGGTCGCAGCAACCCCGGAAAATAAGCTACATAAAATTAAGGGATATTTAATTATACGAGCCGACCCAAATTAGTTTGACACTCGCACGTTTAACGAATTTGGTCTGCAATCCTAGTCACAAAAATAAATAAATAAAAGCATTTATAAAAAAAATTGACTACTTAAAAAGATCATATTAGGCTGGCCGATACAAGCCAACCCATAATTAAAGTATTTTGGTTTTTTAAATATTAATAATTATATGAACTGATTTATTTAGTGATGATCGGCAGGTTTATACACACTTGTTAAATACAAGCTCATTTAGATGTAAGCCTATAACTAATAACGGGCTTAAGCAAACTGGGTCAAGTCAGTCTACATGTCCAACTTTTATGATAATTTTTGAAGTGGAAATTTAAGGGAAGGGGTAAGACAAGATTGTACCAAGAAAAAAAAAGAGGGGAGATATGTTCTTGTTAAAGAAATTAAAAGACTTGTATAATATTTATAAAAATAAACAAAATGTCAGAATATTGAGTTTTTGTTAATTATTACTTTATTTCTTTTATTTTTAAAAACTATCAAATTATACAATATTTCTCACAAACACGTCATTAAACAACGACTAACGATGTTTAGAGTCGAGTAGGATGAGTTGTTTGTCCTTAACCAAATTCTATTTTTTTTTATGAAATCAATTCTTCAAAAATCAAACACGATGCTTTACTTAAAATATATTGTGAACTGCAAGTTCAATTAAGGACAAATTTAAAATGAGACCAAGCCCAAATTGTGGATTTTATAAATCATAAAGTGATTGTCCCAATTTAACTAATCAATCCATTATTAAATTATTTGAACTAGCTATTTGCATCGTGGGCATCAACAGTCTTGTCAATCAAACTATAATTTTAAATGGAACATTACTGCGTTTTGTTTTTTTCGCTTGAAGGACAGTTTCAAATCCAAGCCCGAGTCCTCAACAACTATGATAATTGGCAATAAAAAGATAGAATTTAGGAACAAACCAGGTAGGTATCCATATCACTTTCTTCCTTGCTATACCAGTACCTCGAGCACAAAACAGACGACATCCCTCAATATTGCAATTATCAGAGGCATGCAACAAGATCACTTGGTTAAGTTATCATGATACCTGCTATCTACTTAAACTGTAGAACAATGTAGTTACTTAATACCTTAGTTAACTGAAAGAAAATTATTTGCATTTAGAAGAAGAAAAAAAAGGAGTTAGGAGGTATAAATATAAAGGCATATCTGCCAGCTAGATAAGAATCTGCCGACTTCTGATAAATGTGAGAACCATTATACCATAACATTAAAATTTAAAACCACTGTAATGTATACAGGTACCCCACTAAAAAAGTCCAACGACAGAGAATTATAGTCATCATTTCTCAAGAACCAAAACACTTTCTTCGCAACACGCACATGCCGTCACTTTTGATACCCAACAATATTATTACACTGCAATCAAGCATTCCATTCGAGGTCGATGCAAAAACTTGTACAGAAGCCAATGAAATATGCACCATAACAAGACATAGAGATCGAGGATTAGAGACCCTGTTCAATGAGATAATCACCAAGCCTTTCAACTATGATGTTGCATTGACCTGGACTCATTGGTTCGTCATAAATGCCAATGATCAAGGCCAGATTGGTCTTCTTGACAGTAGCACCACCAGGACCCTGGATAAAAATCGATATTACAACTACAATGACTAAAATATGCACGAAGAAAATATGTGCACTTTGTGCAAGAAACCCAGCTCATATATATTCATCTTTCAACATTGAATAAAAAGATATTTAAAAAAATGTTTTTAAATTAAAATTGGAAGGAAACACTGGGCACGAGCTTGATGCGTGATTCAGATGATTGGTCTTAAAAACTGAATTTAGACAACTTCACAAAATCAACTTATAAGATGAGAATTGTCTTTTATTTATATATACTAATTTGACTATATTATTGATCAATGTGAGACTTAGGTTTTTCTCATAGTATTTGCCTATAATATGATTGATATGACAAACACACGGGCAAGGCATAAGTTGTCCTTCAGACAGATTCCAAAGTATGGTCCAAGATTTAGAAAACAGATATTGTTGCGTAACTAAATTACTATGGTGCACGATATGCTAGCTCGATCCATGCTTGTGTCAGCCTCAACACCAACACAGATTAAAGTGCATACAATGAAATGGTTACAACTCACTCTACATTTTATTGCCCAATTCTACTTCTAATAGTCTATAAAAAGAATTGAAAATGCAAGTCTTCACAGAAACTGTATTATCCATTACAATATCAGCGAATCCACGCAAAAAAAAAACAAAAAAAAAAAACTTGAAGCAGAGATCAAAAGCAGCGGTTACCTTCTTCCCTCGAATGACGGCGCCAGGCTCGCCTTGGATAACCATATATTTGGTGCCACCGAGATGCAATCCAGTTGGAGCAAGCGATCCAGGCTCATCAAAATCATTCATGATCGCAGAGATTTCCTCAGGCTTGAACTAAAAAAACAAACATCCACACGCAACATCACAAATAAGAACGGATCAACTAAAACAAAAACAGATCTGTCACAATTATAGTTCACAAGAGCATCCGACACATATAATCAATCAATTAAGCACGCTTCAAATCGACAAATGAGAACAAAACGCACTGTAACATTGCATTAAAGTGAAGTTATCTTTTGCACAGTATATAATCAACACTACTAGGTATTGTCCTTAATTTTTTAATTCAGAGAAACAGTAGCAATCCAAGTCAATTTGAATTGCTCTAAGTTTTTAAAGTATTTTGCAAGTTGATTCTTCTCTTGTTGGATCTCCTTGACAAGTTTTATGTGTAAGCTTAATTTAGAAGGGCAATGAACAGAGATCGGCGATTGTTATGGATTAACGGCGAAATGAAGCGATCGGAGGGGGAAAAGAGTAAAGGAAGGGAAACCTGAGGGAAGTTGGAGCTCTGAGCCCAAACGGTGCCGTCTTGGCCGAGGATAGCGGCGGAGGTGAGGCGGTTGCCTTCAATTTCGCAGAGAAGGTGGTCATCGACGTATGCTTGCCACGACATGATTCAGATTCGGATTTTCTTCTCTTCGCTTCGCTTCAGTGATCGAAAATGGGTGAGGATTGGGATTGGGAACTTGGTAGCTGCGTTGATACTACGGAGGAATGTATGCCTATAAATCCGTGTAATCATACCCAAGTTACAACAATGCCCTTTTCATTACCCTATTTTCTCTCTCTCGCACAAAATCTAGCAAACCAATATATTATTATTATTATCTCAAAATCAAATTAAATAAAATATTATAATTAATATTTAAATTTGATCGTTTGCATATAATAGTAATAATTAAGAATATCCTCAAATCATAATACAATTTGTTAACCACAAATCTGAAATATAATATTTATATTCAAAATTTAGGATAATGAATTTTTAATTTTATTCTCATTTATAATTTTTTAAATAAATATAATAAAATATTACAAATAAATGTGTATTATTATTTAATAGTTTTTTTTATGAAAATTATTTTAACAAGCATGCATCCTACGCAAATAAAAGTTTATTACATTTTAAAATCATATTCAAAAGATTAAAAAGTATAAATAAACAATATTCAAAATATTCAAGAGATTAAAGAATTACTATTTTATCAACGTGTTGTTGATTTGAGTTACATCGAATTTAGATCTCTTAAATTAAGTAAACAGATAATATAAGAAAATTATATAATAGTATTATGTCTCTAAAAGTAATCATTTACGAAATATTATATAAAAAATAATAATTAATTTTTTATTATATATTTGATTTTTTTGTCCTTTAAATAGTAATCTTAATAGTTATTCTTAACTGATAGTATTTCTAAGATTTTTTCATGAATAAAAAATATTTTAAAAATTATTCTCACTCATTGAATCACGTGTCTCATTTTAATCTCAAATATCAATGAATTAATTTAATTTTTTAATTTTTACATCTTTTAAATGTATTTTTGGAAGTTTAAATTAATTTATATCTTAATTCATTATATCAAATTGAAGGTCTTTTTATTATTTGGATAAAGCAAATCTTAAGGTTATTGTAATTTTAAATTAATCTTAACTATTATTTATTCATTTTGATTTATCTTTATTATTGGTATTTGGATTGACATTTTATAAGGATGTAAAGAAATTAAGTTTAGTCTAATTTATAACTCAATCCAATGAAACATAATTGAATTAGATTGAGTTGAGTATGAGTTTTATTTTGTCAAGTAACTCAATCCAACTTTAATTAATAGGATAATCGAATTGGTTTGTTAAAATATTAATATATTCTACAATTATGAAAAAGAAAAAAAAATTAAGTTGATTAGAAATGTTCAACTCAACTTAAATGGTTAAAATCTGATTTGATTGAATTAGGTTGATCAAGTTCATAAGTTGATGATGGTATTTTTTAGAAATTTTTGAATAATAATTCGTGCTCTTTTGAGTGATATCAAATATATGACTATTAAAATGCAAATTTTGAATATAAAGATTTGACTGACCTATTATAGGTGGACCTAATCCTTTAGAATGTGGTAATACATCTAATAAATTATCCCACCAAACTTTTCCCTCCATGGATCTTGGAATAACAACATGGACTACATGAACTATCCAAGCCATAGAATTGACTCTTAAATAATCTTGACAAATGATGATTGAAGCGGGATTCAACATTTTAAACGAAGAAACGCTTGATTTCCATTTTAGTTGGAGATGTAACCAACCTACCATTAAAGACCAACTTATTCTCCTGCCATTTTGAACTCACATATGTCAGAATTTTTAATGATGTGAAAACTAATAAAATGGCTTCACAATGGATGCAGATAAAAAGGTAAAAAGAAAAATCAAAAATATAATTTAACATAAATATTATTAAATATTAATTATCATATTATTTATATAATATAATTTAATCATCAATATTATAATTTTAATAATCAATGTGTAAATATTAAATAAATAGACCAAAATTATAAATATTATTAAAATTAAGTGATTGTATAATTAAAAATTAAAAAATTAAAATTACAAATTAAATATTATAGAATACTAGATCCTTATACATTCTAAATTTATAATTTTCACATTTTTAATAAAATTTAGGAATGACAATTTTTTTTTAATCTATAGATACCCTATAGATTGAAAATAAATAATAAAATAGATATCTATCTTATAATAGAACATAGACAAATAATAAATATCCATATTTATAGATACATTGAAATTACTATAAATATGTTTAATTATATATAAAAATTGATATGGTTTATTTTATTAATATATATATATATATATATATATATATAATTTAGAATATAGCTTATTATGATGTTTATTAGTTTTAGTTGACGTACTAATAAAAATATTTATGCTGAAGTTCTTTTCCATTATTTTTTTATCATATCTTTAATGAGGAGTTTGTTAACTAAAATAAACCTAGCTTTTTAATACTTTTATTAAAATGTAAAAAATAATAACCAGAGGTTTGAACAAGTTCACTTGTGTTTAGTTGTTAGAAAAAATAAATAAAGAGAAGCGAAGAAAAACAATAAATAGTGTAAAAGTTGAAGTTGTTTAATAGAAAAGAGACGAGAAAAATAATTTTTTTAGTTAATTTATATTGAATTAAATTTAATGAAAATAAATTCCAATATATTGAATATTTTATTATTATTATATTTATTTTTTATTTTAACAATAATTATATTTATTTTTATATTTTAAATTGTAATAAATAAATAAATAATTTTATTTATATACCACATATAATTGATTATTTTTGTAAATTGTGTTAACACTCCGATGAACAGTAACTTCTGCTATAATACACATTTTAGTGTATTTTTGTGTTTTTAACGTGAGACCCACCTTTCTCCCTACACTTCCACACTCGGCCACTCCACCAAACACACTACTTTCACACACGTCTCTCATCTTCCCTCTCCCCCTGTGCACCAAACAAGCTGTTAGTCATCATGATACTGGCTATGTTCTACCAATAATGATAACAGGGATTCCCACAACGTGGATACAGACCAAATATTTCTGATAGCCTGACATACATGATCTGCTAAGCAAAACAATGAAAGAGGGTGTCTGATGAGTTTGGAGGATCAATCACGAGTTCCCAAATCTAAACGGGGTTCTCTCAAAGCAAAAGAATTTTTCTTTCAACTTACGCAAGTTAAAACTAAAACAGAAATACTAAGAGCTTTTAATACACTAGAACTGGAAAGAAAATTATTTGAATCAGGAAAAGGAAGGAAAAAAGCACCGAAGAATAAATATGAAGGCTTTCAGCCAGATAGACAAGAATCTGCAAACTTTTAATAAATATGCCAACCATTATACCATCGAATTCAAAATTTAAAACCACTGTAATGTATACAGGTACCCCACTAAAAAAGTACTAGTACAACGATAAAGATTATAGTCATCATTTCTCAAGCATCAAACACTTTCTTCACTACACGCAGATCCTGTGACTTTTGATACCCACAAGATTATTACACTGCAATCAAAGCATTCCAGTCGAGGTCGATGCGAAAACTTGTACAGAAGCCAATGAAATATGCACGATAACAAGACATAAAGAGAAGATTAGAGACCCTGTTCAATGAGATAATCACCAAGCCTTTCAACTACCATGTTGCATTGACCAGGAGTCATTGGTTCGTCATAAATGCCAATGACCAAGGCCAGATTGGTCTTCTTGACAGTAACACCACCAGGACCCTGGATAATAGGGATAAAGACTGATATTACAACTATAATGGTCAAAATATGCATTTCGATACTGTGTGAAAAACACCTTATATATGTTTATCTTTCACAATTGAATCAAAATTTTGAAAAGAAGTTATCAAGATTAAATTTGAAGGTAACGATTTACATCAGACAATCCTAGTACACAATATCTGATAGGATGGACCTAAAGAGACCCAAAAGAGATAAAATTAAATGGTTGAAGGACTTTATAGGTTGGTCTTAGAATATTAGGATATACTTGGGTTTAGTTTTAATGTTATTTCATATTCCATAAAATAGAATGATCATGATGACAATTGGTGTAAAGTCATCCTTAGTACTATTAAACTATAAATTTGTATTCCTTTTGGCCTGAGGCATGAATGAAAAATATCAATGTTAGTGTTTATCTTCCCTATAGTTTTCTTGTAGCCCTTTAATGGTTGATTTTAGTAGTGTAATAGTATAACTTTTAACTTTCTATTAGTATCAAATTGTTGAGAGGATGCATACAATAATTACTCTACACAGATGCATTTGCTTATAAATTATAATGATTGATATGCAAACCACAAACATGTGAATGGATTCCAAAAATGTGCAAAGGTTTAGAAAACAGAAATGTTTTGCTTATAAAATCATATGCACGATAGATATGGCTGCAACTCACATTACAATTTAAAACTACTATCTATGTAGTTGTTCTGGTATAGAAGTTAGAATAATCTTAGCCAAAGCACAAGTGTATTATCCATTAACCTATTTATGTCTGCCTAACCTGCCCATTATATAATTGTTTCTCCTTTTCTATCTCTTATTCCTAATAATCCAGACCGGTTATTATCTCTTGGCATATTTATCTTGTATAACTGGTCTAATATAGTAATATCTCTTGGGTTACGGTCATTATCATTAGAGATGGCTCCTATCATATGAATTATCTTATTTTGGTATGCGAAAATCATACATTTAACACCGTATATAAGTAAAATGAGTTAAAAGACATAAGTTTACTATTCGGCCACAAGCAGATAGACACTCTCACGATCATCTTAAACCTAGGAGCGTCCAGTAGTAAAAAAATTGAAAATGTATCTTCACATGAGCTGTACCATCACATGTGAGTATACCAGCTAGAATAGCATATTCTGGTTCACATTAGATGATCCATGTTTGAGTCGAAGTCAAAGAATTTGATTATGAATTTACAATTGATTTTGAGTTGAAATAAATTTAGTCATGACAACTTCCATGTCCAAGAGAAGCAAATATTCATAGTTTCCGCATATATTGTCAATTTTAGCATGATTTTAGGGTCTAAAGTAAGTAAATAATGTCATTCAAAACTCACGGGTAATTTTGGCACTAGATCAAAAATTTTATACCAAGTGTTACTACTAACTTGATTTTAGAATAAATAATAAAATCATTCAAACAAAACACACTAGTTCAAATCAATTTTAACCAAAACCAATTTTGCAAAATCGAAATAAATAAAAATGACACACACTACACTATCTAAGAATCAATGCAATAAAACTTGAAGCAAAGATCATAAACAGTGATTACCTTTTTCCCTCGAATGACAGCACCGGGCTCGCCTTGTATGACCATATATTTAGTGCCACCAAGATACAATCCAGTTGGAGCAAGTGTTCCAGGCTCAGCAAAGTCATTCATGATAGCAGTTATTTCCTCTGGCTTGAACTAAACAAGCATCCACACGTTAAATCACATACAAGAACGGATCAACTAAACAAAAATTAAAATTAAAACAGATCTGCTCCTATTACACTTCAAAATAGCATCTGATTTATGTTAATAATCAATCCGAAAATATAAATTAATATTAAGTTAGCTTCAAAGCCTAATTGTTGCAGGCAAGAACATAATCCTAATCAGCAGGACTAAACTTCTGCTTGTGTTATTAATTTTGTAATTATCATAGTACGCACTGAACTTCCTTTTGCTGATTGGATTATGCATATCGACAAACATGTCACAAGTTTAGAACTATTTTGCATGCTGATCGTTAGTGAGAGTCCATAACAAGATAAACACAGCGAGCATAGATCGAAGCTTTCCAAAGTGAAATAGAATAAATGGTGAAATGAAACGAATAGATCGGAGAGGGAAAAAGAGTAAAGGAAAATAGAAACCTGAGGGAAGTTGGAGCTCTGAGCCCAAACGGTGCCGTCTTGGCCGAGGATAGCGGCGGAAGTGAGGTGGTTACCTTCGATCTCGCAGAGAAGGTGGTCATCGACGTAGGTTTGCCACGACATGATTCAGATTTTCTGGAGAGAGCGTTTGGCCGCTGGGAAAATGGGTTAGGATTTTCTTTTCTTGGCTGCGTTGAATCCACGGAACTAAATGCCTATATAAATCTCTGTAACCACTTTGAAGTTACGTAAATGCCCTTTTCATTACCTTTTTTCGCTGTTTCGGGCTGACAGATAAGAAAAAAGAAAAATTATAAAAAAAATATATATCTTATTTATTTATTGTTTTTGGAAATTAATAGTTATCGGCGGTTTCAATTTTCAAAGGAAGAAAAAAAAAAGAAAAAAGTTGTGTGATTGAAGGTTCACTGTCACTACTAAACTTTAGCCTTTTCCTTTTTTGTTTCCTTTCTTTTTCAAATAGCGACGTTCTAATTCTATAATTTTTCACTATCATTTGTCGTTTTGTACCGTAGTCACACGTAAAACACAAACAAAGATAAAAATATATCTATATGTTTAGATTTTCCTTTTTGTGTTTTTCATTTCTAATTTGAAGAGTTCTAGTTGCAATTACTTTGACATAGTATTTGACTTTGAATGGAAAATGAAAATTTGCACATTCTAGATAAATTTTAAAATTTTTTATGATGCAATTACTTATTTGTGAAAGTTATTATTTTTTACATTTTAATAAAAATATTAGAAGGCTAATTTTATTTTAAAAAAATATTTAATTGATAAAAATAATTCAGTGAAAAAACTACAACAACAAAAAAATTATTAATATGACAAATAAAAAAAATATATACCTCAATAAATAAATATTGTGAGCAACTAAATCATTGTAATAATTCAAACAAAAGAATAATTCAAAAACTGATTAATTTAAAATCTTTGAGATCATAATCAACCTTATTAATAATATCTACGAATTATAATTTTTTTCAACTAAATTTATCATTAATGGTATAATAAATAAAATAAACAACCATATTATGAAATAATTAACTAACTTTAATCCTAATATATTTTTTGATAGTCAACATTTATGATATATATAATTATTATTTTCATTTTATAAATATAAAATATATATTTTTGAAAATTACTTAAAAACTTTATTTTGAATTAAAATAAAATCTATATAGAAATGTTATTACGTAATAAATAAATTCAGAAAAAATATTTTTAAAGTTAATTAGTGTTTTCTTGTGCATTTAAGTAATAAATAAATTATGAATTATAAAAAAAAAATCAACATAAAACTAATTATTTGTTAAACTAATTTTATATATAAATATCTACTAAGTTTGGAAAGAAAATATTGTTTATTGTATGTGCATGTGTGTGCATATATTTTAAAAATAATAATTCTTAAAACATCTTTACAGCATTTAGATCAAAGGATTTTGCGGTATCATATCTCCAAATGGCAGATCTCGAAAAAATATTTTAAGGGATCAAAATTTTAAATACATATTATTCAAATTATTTATAATATAACATATTAAAATATATATACTATTTAAAAGGAAAAGAAAAAATTTAAGAGATAATGACTAGGCACGAGCACGACTGTCTTCAAGATCTATAAACTATTCTTCTATAATTTTCAATAAGGATGCAACATAATTGACGAAAGGTAACATTACTGAAAAAATACGATTCCTCTTCCATCAATTCTTATCAACCTTTGTCCCTCCAACTCATATCAAATAATCAAATGCTTTGAGCAATTACTATATTAGACTTATTATTTTTTTTTTTTTGTCTTTCTAGTTTTACTATTTCTATATAAAAAAGTTTATCTTCTATGATATTACAATATAAACACATTTATAATATTTTTAATATCAACTTTATTGTCTTTTAGAACTTAATATATTATTATTATTATTGTCTATTTTATTTTAACTATAATGAGTTATCAGTGCAATGCAATGAGTTAAGTAGTGAATAAAATTATTAATTAAATTTAAACTTAATTAAAATATAGTTAATTTTAAATTAATTTAAATAGTTTGATTACTTGTAAAAAAATATAATTTGGTTAAATAAAAAAAATTAATAATTAATTATTTAAGTGAGACTATGTAAAAAGATATATATAATCACTTCGAAATTATTATAACAATGAGTTAGAGAAAATATACAAATATTGTAATAAAGATGCGTTTTTAGTATAATTTCATATAAAAAAAGTATTTTTTCACATGTAATAT